ATGCAGTACTCAAAACACACATGCATTATTGATTTAGGTTTGATTGTATACCCTCATCACAAAAATGGCCCTTGGGCAAGTGAACAAAAAGATTTATTGAGAAAACTATGTGAAATCATGGCATAAATGAAAAAGTTAATTTAGATTTTGTTAAAGGTTGTGTTATAGACTAACTGCAGAGAACGGGGTATATGGCTGCCTTAGTGGCTCTTGCCAGGAGCATTCATTGGTCATGATTTGGAAGGTGGAGAAAATTCATTGTTGAATAGACAAATATTATATAATAGCTGCACTAGATAACCCAACACTGTTGGGAGCTCTCAAAACTATCCTAACGAAGCTCCTGTATCATTTGGGGGACCCCCCCTGAGCCCTATCAGAGGAAGAGACAGGTCTCAATCCCAGAATTGGAGATTATAGAATAAAAAGTGCCAATCATTCAATTTCCTATAGACCTCTCCAAGATTCTGAGGAGTTTAAATTAAACCATTTGTTAGACTCTCTAAGATCATACTGTTAAATGAAAAAAAGAAAGCCTGATACCAAAGAGACTGAAATAAATGGAAGTGCAAAATAAAATATATTTCATGTTTGATTTTATATGCATAAATATTTCTGGAGGAAACCAGCAACTACACATTGTGGGGGAAGGGTGACAACTAGGCAGATGCGGAACAGAGGTGAGAGGAAGACTCATCCTATACATTATTTATAATTTACAATTTTTTGAACCACGTCAATTTATTACTTACTCAAAAACTAAGTAAATTGATGAACATTTAAAAAAATACTAAATGAACAAAGGAAAATTTTGTTTTATTTCTCCCCTATTTTTCAGTTTTTTATTGAAAACTTTTTTCAGCTTCATTGAGGTATAATTGACAAATAAAAATTGTAAGATATGTAGAGTGTACAACAGGATGATTTGATATACATTGTGAAAGGATTACCCATGGAGTTAATACATCCATCACCTCACATGTTTACCTTTTTTTTTTTTCTGAGACCATGGAAGTTCTCTTTTTAGTAAATTTCAGTTATATAGTACAGTATTATCAATATAAGTGTCCATCCATGAATGAATGGATCAAGAAAATATAGCATAGTGTGTGTGTGTGTGTGTGTGTGTGTGTGTGTAATGGAATATTATTCAGCGTTATAAAAGAATGAAATCCTGTAATTTGTGACAACATGGATGAACCTAGAGGGCATCACGTTAAGTGAAATAAGCCAGACATAAAGAAATACTGTATGGTATCACGTGGAATCTAAAAAAAAAGTGAAACTCGTAGAAACAGAGAGTAGAAAAGTGGTTGCCAAGCATGGAGGAAATAGGGTGAGGTTGGTGAAAGGGTACAGACTTTCAGCTGTGAGATGAATAAGGTCTGAGGATCTAATGTATAACGTTTGTTTAGCTTTCACAGCCAAGTTTAGCAAGCTTATTCAGGTGCTGTTTCCTTTCCTATATTGCAGCTTCATCGGCATCCTCGGAACGTAGAGGAAGAAACCAAATATATTGAACTGATGATTGTAAACGATCATCTCATGGTAAGATTTGCTGAATTTTTTGTTGTTCGGACTTGTCCGTGCCTAGGGTAAAGCGGGTGGCTGCAAAAATGTGTTTAAAAGAAAGAAGCCCATAGGTAAAGCAGTAACCTAGAGAGGGTATCTGTGTAAGCAAACATATTTGTTACCCATCAACAACTTGCAAGTACTTAGTTACTTAGGTAAAAGTAACTAACAAGTGTTTTGTGAAGTTCCAAAAATATTTCTGGCACTCATAATGTCAAGTCTTTGGATTTAATTGATTTATATGGGGCCTAATATCTCATCCTACTGAAATGGCAAGGTTTAAAAAAATGGCAACTTCCATTTTATATTCAAAAAGTCAGTGAGGCACTAATGATGTGACACATTAGTTTGCAATGTACAGCTTTATCCTAATAAACGAAAAACATTTTTTTTTCTATTTATGTTTTGTTATGTAGTGAGCCTATATAGGAAAGCTTATATAGCCAAGCAGTGAAGAATTTTAGGATAAGAGCCTAGCAAAACTTCCATTTTTGTTGAGTAAATTATTTTGTCAACTCACTTCATGTATATATTCAATCCGTGGGCATGTTGCAGTCGGTATGGTTATAGTCACAGCACAGCAGTGTGGTACAATGCTAATTGTTCCATGTAACCATGGTTTTGAACTGAAAACCATCTGGTGCACATTGCTGAATTGTACTTAATTTCAGGTGCAAGTACATTTGGATTTACTTTGAATGATTTATTTGAGGGAAAATGTGTCATTTATTTACATAATTAAACAAGTAATATCAATTTTAATAATTTTTCTTAATGATGATACAATCAAGATTGAATGCTTCTTCCTTGTTCAGGCTAAGACTGAGTTTTATCTTTCTACCTTTTTGAATTCAGTGAATGTTTCTGCCCCCTGAGATTTTTTTGCAAAATAAGAGTAAGTTGCAAACACATAATTTTGGACATTTTAGGATATCGCAAATTCAGATGTCTGTAGACATCTTTAGGCAGATAATGCAAATAAAGTGAACCAGGTATAAAACAATAGGGACGGGTGAGGCCTGTGTTGAAACGTAAGTCACATGGCTTGTCCAATGAGAGCAGCTGCCTCTCACCACTTACCAGTTATTACCATGTGGGAGTGCTAATTTCAAGTGAAGCCAGAAATCGGGTATTATGTGGCATTTCCTGATTTTTAAATTGAGGCCTAACAGAAGATATATGTGATGCATATGTAGCCTATGAGCTACCTCTTTTGTGACCCGTTAGGGCTTTCTTCTTACTGAATAAGTCTTGTAGAACTTATAAATGTTTATACTTTTAGCAGTAGTCACATCACTTTTTCTGACTTTGATGTACTTATATTTGTATGTTATGTAATTCATAGATAACTGTCATATATTTTATCATTTTGAATAATCCATGACAGAAATAAACTTGTGAAATGGATGGAATGGGTATTTTTTACTTTACCTTACAGATGAGTAAACTGAGGCCTCCAACTTTTAAGGACCTTGCCTCAGACTGCACAGTATATAAAGGATTAGGTCTCAATTCTTAAATTTTTATAGACCCTTAGAGATCTTGCAATTATACCATGCTTTCTCTGCTGATTTGCTGATGACTATGAAAGCCCTTCACTTGTTTTCTTTTGCTTTCAGTTCAAAAAACATCGGCTTTCAGTTGTACATACCAATACGTATGCAAAATCTGTGGTAAACATGGCGGATTTAGTAAGTATCAACCCAATTCAGTATTGTTATAGAGGAATTTTATCTCCTAATTACTAATAGAACAGATAATGTGGTTCTTCTATATTCATGACCCTAAATTACACTTTGACCAAGGTGTCCCCGTAAGTCCCTGGTAACCTTGCAATTGACTTGATTGACTTTGATCTCTATCTGGGAAGGTGATAAAAGGAAATGCTCAGACTTACCCACAGATTTATGCCTGAAATTCCTTCCTTTATTTTTCACATTGGAAAAGAAAAGGTTGAGTCACAGCCCCTAACAAAGATACTATGTACTCCACCAAGAAACAGTATAAGAGTTGTGCCTTTTTCAAGAGTACCTGGTGCTATGGGAATGATGCAACTAAATATAATAATTCTACTGTACCTACTTTTCCAAATCTTCCCATGACAAAGCAGTGCCAGTACCTTCTCTGTGAGTTTAATTAGGGCCAGTTTGGTGGTATAGAAATTGTTTCCTGGAGAGTGTTTTTTTTTGTTTGTTTGTTTTTAGCTGAGCCATCCTGCCACCTGTTGGCAGCTCAGCGACAGCTCAGCTCGGGCCGGGAATCGAACTGCTTTTGCTCAGAGCTCACACTCTTGAGCGAGCTCTTAACCAACTGAGCCACTCTGCTGGCCCTCCTGGAGAGGCTTGATTGTTCCATTTTTGCTAGGGGAAGTCAAGAATGCATGAACTCTTTGTCCAGGTTCCAGAAAATAGACTCAGGGGGAGCCTTGAATAAGGGTACAAATATTTGTCCAAAAGTGATGTTTTGTTTCAAACAGGTGTTCTGTTCCTTGGGTATTACTTGGTAAACAATTTGATTCTGTTACTGAAGGCAAATGCATGTAAATTAGAAAAACAATTACCTCCTTAAAAACAGTGAAGTTTCTTACATTTAGCTAAAACTCAAGTAGTTTCCATAAAAGGAGCTTTGTAGTCCTGTTCATAAATCATTTTATTTTACCACAAGTACAGCTGGTGTGTTTGTTTTGTTAATAATTCTGTTAATATTCTATAGATATATAAAGATCAACTTAAGACAAGGATAGTATTGGTTGCCATGGAAACCTGGGCAGCTGACAACAAGTTTGCCATATCTGAAAATCCACTGATCACCCTACGTGAGTTTATGAAATACAGGAGAGATTTTATCAAAGAAAAAAGTGATGCAGTTCACCTTTTTTCGTACGTAACTTTTGTAATGATTTATTGCTTTTTTTGGTTCCATATTGTATGCTCTATGACTTGTGACTGAGCTATATACATTTTACTGCATAACGCAATTAGTACTTGACAAGGAAGAAGTTTTAAAGTATAAATTGTTTGAAATTGTCATGAAAATTTAAGAGGTTTAATTTTGAGTTATTTTATTATTGCATGTGTATTTAATTTCTCAAGAGATTTAATCAGAGCATTTACTGAGTAAATGTACTATTAATACTCATAGAGTATTCTAAACAGAGTAATTACATTCTTGAAAGTTTCTGTCTTTTAAATGTTAATATTATTTTTGCTTTTGATTTAAGATGAGAGCTTAATATTTTCAGAGTTTACCTTTTATTTTTTCTTATGCCTATATGTTTAAAACATTTTTTTTAGTAACGTGCATATTTGATGTAATAGCAAGTTATATATTGTAGCACTTTAAAAATCTATCACCTAAAGTCAGAGCTGTTGAAGCAAATTTTAAATGGAAGTAAAAGAGTACATTTTTTGGTAACTTTTTATTTTTATGAAATTTCAAATTTACACAAAAGTTGCAAGAGTCCTGCAAGGAAATACCCTATGCCCCTCACCCAGATTCATCAGTTGTTTACATTTTGTCCCATTTGTTTTGTTTCTTTCCTTCTATCCTTCTTACCCCTTCCGTTTCATTCACCCATCTATCAGTTTTTTCCCCTGAACCATTTGAGAGTAAACTTGGAGACATTTACTTATTGGGCCTTTACTACTAAATACTTAAGACATTTTCTTACTATAGTAAATGATTAAAAACAGAAAATGTAACATTGATATAATACTTTGTTCTATAGTCTATATTCAAAATTTACCAATTGTCTCAGTAATGTCTTTTAAATTAATTCTCCCCCCCCACCCCCAATCCAGGATACAATCCAGGATCACACATCACATTAACTGTCATGTCTCTTTAGGCTTCTTTAATCTGAAAGATTTCCGTAGCCTGCCTTTGTTTATTTTGAGCTTAACATTTTTGAAGCGTGTAGGCCAGTTATTTTATAAAATGTTCCTCACTGTGGGACTGTCTGATATTTTCTCACTATGAGATTCAAGTTATGCATTTTTGCCAGAAATACCACAGAAGTGATTTTGTATCCTTCTCAGAGTACATCTTATTAGTACTTCTTTTTTAATAGGTATAATTCTCTTGAAGATATTTATTATGTGGGGAAACATCCCTCAGAAACCTTTTTATTTGGTTATGCGTGTAAACAATTTTCACATTCCTCCCTTACCCTAGGAATATATAGTATACGAATGTTATATGCATTGAGAAAATTAATACGGTAAATTAATAATGAGAGGTGCTGTGATATTTGAACTGTGAGCAGTAAGTATTTTTCATTTCCTTTTCTGAAAGGGGAAGTCAATTTGAGAGTAGCCGGAGCGGGGCAGCTTATATTGGTGGGATTTGCTCGTTGCTGAAAGGAGGAGGCGTGAATGAAGTAGGTGTGAACATCTGTACAGTACAAAGTGGTATGATGGCTGAAAATGCTTTCCTAATATTTAAGAGATAATTTCTCAGTATCCCACAGTTTCCAGATGTTAGGTTGTTATATTAACATCCAATGTGGTTACTGTAAATTACCAGAGGACAGAATAGGGAAATAATGCAATATCTGATAATTCTGTTCGTGTTCTACTTAGAGTGATTTCCAGATTTAGCTATTTACAGACTATATAAAGAAAAATCTTTACTTTTACCTTCATTGACAATAAGGCCCTGTTTTTCACTTTGATTTTCCAGAGGATTGGGTAATTTCCAGAAACATTGACTTACTACCTAACAACCAAATTAGAAATTCTCTTCCTTCTTTGATATTTGGCAAATTTTCAGAGAAAAACATAGACAGTCTTTTCAAAGAGTTCCTTCTACCCCTAAGGAACTAAGCCTGATGGAGGTGATTTAAGAGAAAAATACTCAAATCTTTTGGAGGCTATGTATTGAAAAAAATATTTATAGGTCTTCTCAAGTTTCTTTTGGCCAAAGATCATCACTATTTCCTTTTTACTCATAACATCCGTTTTCTGAAGCCGTATTCTATTCAGTTTGGGGAAATTTCAGAGTACAAGTGGACACACAAACATGAGCAAGTTCCAAATAATTTGCATATTTATTTTTATCTTCTTATTATCCAAAAACCTGGTCTAATTATATGCAAGTACTAAGTTTTTCAGAAAAGTCACTGGTGAACTTTGGACTCAGAATTAAATTTAAGTTTCCAAACCCCAAATTTGATGATTCCCTGTTTTCTGGTTTTCACTATAAGACTTAAACAAACACGAATTTATTTCTTCCCACATCTTTCCAAATGCTCAGTAGTTATTGTGTCTGTAAACTGTGATAAATAAAATGCTTAGAAATTACTTGTTTTCAATTATATTGTGACTTTTTCTCTGGCCCATCTTAAATAAAAAATAATTTGCACTTACATGTATTTATTTATCTTTTTTTGTTTTTCAGTTTGGGAAAACTGATTTAATGGCAGTTACACTTGCCCAGTCCTTAGCCCATAATATTGGTATTATCTCAGACAAAAGAAAGTTAGCAAGTGGTAAGTTTAAGTACATGTGTGGTTTAATTATATTTTAAAAAGACTTATCTGTAAAATATTTTCAAGAATGAGATTAATTAATTCAGTTGCTTGATCAGAAGAGTTTGAGGGATAGTATAAGATAAGTAGCCAGGGCACAAAATAATTTTTTCAAAAGTAATACAAGGTAATATTTACATTACAGATGAAATTTTCTCCATGCGTAATAACTATTTAAAGCTATGTGATGATAAATTCATAGTTGAATTTAACCAAAAAAAGGACAAAATAAGCTCAGTTTGGTAATTTTAAATGGTCTAAGAGTCATAGGCATACAGTTTTAAGGCATACTGTTTTATTATGGTTTATTTAAAACATCTCTTAGTATGGCCACAGAGGTAGAATTTACCTGCCAGGCCAGATCAGGACCTGATAAAGGGGCTTAGTAAAATATGGACCTAGTAAAATATGTTAGGTTTAGCATCTATGAAGAATGTATTTTTCCCAACTTATTCATGAAGAATGGTTAAATGCTATGTATTTTGAGTAAGTTAATTATAACAACACTTATTTTATTGTTTTAATAATAAATATTATAAATATGATTGTTTATATTAATAACTATTACCATTTATGGAGTACCCGTTATATGAGAGATATTTAAATGCCAGTATTTTATACATCTAGATGCTCATTTAATTCTCTAGATCAGCGGTTCTCAACCTTCTTAATGCCACAACCCCTTAATATAGTTCCTCATGTTGTGGTGACCCCCAACCATAGAACTATTTTCGTTGCTACTCTATAACTGTAATTTTGCTACTGTTATGAATCATAATGTAAATATCTTTTTGTTTTCCGATGGTCTTAGGCGACCCCTG